CCTTGGCCGGGTGCAGCATAAAGAGAAGCCTCAGGTGCTTTCTTGGCGTCTCTTCCCCACCCAGGTTTCTTTCATATTCAGTTCTCTTCTTTAAACCCTGAAAAAAATACAGAGCAGTTTTTCAAATGACAGGGGCTTCTGGGTAAGAAAGCTGTACTTAGGGCCCCTCCAAAAGAAAGGATCCCTTGTCTCTGGAGACGGGAAAGATGATTAGACTGAGGAGTGGATTCGGGCAAATTAGCCAGATGGATTGTGACTCCAAGGGCCTCATTCTGGAGGAGGGTTCAGCAGCCTGGAAAGGAGGAGAGAAAGCCAAATATACTGTGCTTAGACAAAGTGAGTATCTGACATCATTTGTGCTTTATTCAAGCTATGTCCTGAATTTTTTCTATTATCATTAGTTTTTCTCTTGACTATGCATTATGTTCTAGTGGATGATTCAGGGGGGGTGGCTTAAAGAAAATGGGGTGGGCAAAGTTTGTGAACTCAGGAGCATTATCCGGGGCAAAGCTATGTCCTCTGTTTTCTTGCCCTTGTTTAGTGACAGCAGAAAGTGACCTGTGCTCAGTGCAGGCATAGAGATCCTGTGTGAGAGTATCTCCAGCATTGCATGACTATAAGCTCCTTACAGGCAAGGGTCATGGATCCTCATCTGTGTCTCTGCCATTGAGTGTGGCACATGTTAAGTGATGAAGTAATATTTGAGCATTCCTTGATGGATGGGCCGTGTGACACATCATGAAAGATGTTTGATTAACATTTGTGTTCTGCAATGATGCAATGTTTTCAGTAGAGAAAAGATGCAGAGGAATGCCTTACGAGAGCTCATTTCTGGGCTAAGGAAATCAATTCTGGAAGGGTGGAAGTAAAATTAATAGAATGTCATGCAACATGTTTGATTTTGTCATCCATCTATATTTTTCCCAAACAGTGGCTTAGATATGTTGAATAAGAGTGAGAGTGGAAGGGAAAACAAAATCCTGGTACAGCTCATGGAGCCTCTGCCTCACTGGATCTTTTTTCCCCCCATACCAGGGATTGAACTCAGGACCTTGTGCTTGTGGGGCAGGTAGGGCACCAGAGCTAAATCCCTGGCCCACTACTGGATCCTGTAAAACACAAGTCTCTTAGGAGTGAATGAATGACTTGATGATGCTGTCCTTCTCTCAGAATAAATAAATATTGCCTTTTCCACCCTCACTGTTGGTACCACACAGGGAAAATGGCACATGGTCAGAAGATCAAGATCTCTTCATCCTGATCTTCTGAATCAGCAGCACAAGATGGTGAAAACTTCATTAAAAAGCACTTGAATATTCCACTCCTTCTCCATGTGTCTGCACTATTTTCTGGAAGCTGCAAGCCTAACAGCTAGTAAGAAAAAGTGGAGAGGACTGGACTATTCAAAAGTCACTCTCTTCCTCCACTCTAGTTTGGAAGTGGAACATCTCTCCAAAGACCCATGTGTTAACAGCATTATTGGGAGGTGGTGGAAGCTTTAAGGGGTAGGACTTGGGAGAGGTCTTCTGTTCATTAGAGAATATGCCCTTGAAGGTGATGGTGGGACTCCAGCCCTGTTCTCTTTCTCTCTTCTTTATTCCACCATGATGAGCTGCCTCAGTATAGGGAAGAAGCAATGGAGTCAACTAACCATGGACTGAAACCTCGACATGGAGAGCCAAACCCAAACCTTTTACTTTATGAGTTGATTATCTCAAGCATTTGTTACAATAATGGGATGCTGACCAATACATTCTCCTAAAAAGGGCATTCGGTATGGTTTGCCTGCCAAAACTGAGCCAACCCATACCGACAGAGCTTCTCACCTCTCTGAAGCAAGAAGTTTTAGTATTTAATGCAGCTCTACAATGTCTACTTTACCAGCCACCTCTACTGTCTACAAGTTGAAGAAATCACTCTGTTCATTAGGAACTTTTGAACAAACTGAAAATTGCTGATTGTGGGCAGTAGTGGGAGGAGGGCTATGGTGTAGACCTGGAGGGGGAGGCAATTCTTTCTGACCAAGGATTCTGTTCTTTATTAGAATTGACTTTTTGTGTTTGTCAGTTAGCAATCCATATTTTAAGTTAGAGTATTTAAAAGTCAGGGTACAGAAACCGTTTTCCCTTTCAGAGAATTGTAAAATAGAATTGCCGAGGCTCATCTGGAATATTAGAGAGCAGGCAAATTCAAAGAAAGCAAAGCCATGTGCTATTGCCATATTTAACTGATCTCTCAAATTCTGTGTAGCTCTCGTATGTGTGTACCAGGCACATTAGCAAATGAGGTGCATATGACCCATAGGAAAGGTGGATGCTTTGAAGGAGATAATTTTTTGTTGTATCGTGACTGGTGGGAGATGAGCAGGTAAGGCTGGACAGGAGCCCTTTGCACCAGGTCTCCCTGTAATGGGTCCAGATCCATGGTGCTCACACTCTTTGACCCAAGTCACTCTTGTTCATGCTACTGGGACTCTGATTCACAAAGAGCCAGTAGCAGCTGAAAAGAAATGATGTGACAACTGTGTCCCAAAATTGCTTAAATACTGGAAACAGAAAAGAAAATCTATTTTTTAAAATATTTTACAGAGCCTGTGCAAGATTTTAAAAGAATGTTTAGCATTCCAAGTATTTTCCCTTCTGTCTTTGGAGACTGGCTCTGAGAGTGATGTTTTGTTTATTTAACATTTAATCAAAAGAGATTTGGACCTCACCAGCTTTTGAGCAACAGATTCAGTAGCACTGTCTCTTCCCATTTAGTGTGAAGAGAGAAACTTCAACCATAAGGAGAATTTGATGTCTGTAATATGTTCTAAAAGATCAGCTGGTCTAACTTTACAGGGCTAATAAAAGGGAAAAATTTTCCTGTGCTCAGATCTTTTATGAATTATAAATAACCATTCACTTTGGAAGATAGCACAACATAAAATTTTTTCCACAAATATGCACAAATCCATTTTAAGATCCAAGGAAAAAGATGTTCAAAAGTCTCTGATGTACCCAGTTTTGATTTCATGTGGAAACATATTCTTTTACCGTATGGATGCTTTCAAGGGGGCCTTCAGCTGGGCTCAGGAATGATACCCCAGTGACCAAATAAGGGGTTATTTTTCTTCTAACATTATTTCTCTGTTATTAAAGATGGAAAAACCTTGCACAAATAGCTTACTATTAGAGTGCTTTAGGGGATATCCTGGGACTCAAGGTTATGTGTCTGCTCCAAAAATACTGTGTGTAATTATCGTTCCTCAGTGGTTCTGAGGATGCAGTCTTATTATTTTCATTAATTTCTTGATTCTCAAAGTCTAGAGTGAGTGCCTAATTTTGATATTCAGTATTTTACAGTAAGAGTTTTGCTATTGCTCTTAAGGTCACAGGTCCTTTCCTCCTCTCATAATAACTATTTCTTGGCTTATTTTGTCCACTCAAATAAAAAGATATGAAAAATCAGATTTGAAAAGAAAAAGAAGGCAGATATGAGATTCTTCTAACCCCAACCTTCATCTTTTCTATAACCTGCGAATACAGACATTAAAAAATGGAGTCATCCTGATCTAATAATTGAATGAAGAGGGTCCACAGGTCAGAGAAGCACATACCCTTCCCAGTATTTTATTATGAGTGCTTTCAAATATGCACCAAGTTGAAAGAATTTTTGCAGTGAACACCATATACCTACCATCTAGTTGTAGGGTTCTACCATTCAAATTTTACTATTCTTGCTTTATCAAATATATTTGTACAGATGTATCTATATGTGTATATATATTTATACACCCTCCTTCATTGCTCCATCTTCTGTTTTCATGTACCTAAAAATAAATTATAGGGCTGGGATGTGTCTCAGTGGTAGAATGCCTAGCATGAAGCCCTGGGTTTGATCCTTAGTACCATAAAACAAAAAGCTGTAGGATTACCCAATTTCCACATAAAAACATCAGTTTGGTACTTTATCTTTTGATGTAAAGTTTACATATATTGAAATATTATAGTTAAATGCACAGTTTTTAAGTTTTAACAAATATACCCAAAGCCCTATCATGAGGTGGACATTTCCATCACTCCAGAAAATTTCTTCATACATCTTTCCTGTCAATTCTTTTCTCTGTTCTTCCCAAGTCCAGAGGCAACTCCTTTTTTTTTGTTAGTTTTTTGTTGTCGTTTTTTTGGCCACGGATCAGTTTTGATGATTCTAGAAATTCTTATGAAGGGATCAAAGAATATGAACTCTTGTGTAAGACTTTCATTCAGTCTGAATGTTTTGGGGATTTGCTTGTGTTACTGTCTAACGGTATTATTCCACCATGTGACTACCCCACCATTTGTATATTTGTTTTCCTTTTGATGGACACCTGGACAGTTTCTGCCTATTGTGAACAAAGCTCTGTGAACATTCTTTTACAAATCTTTTGATAGACATGTGTTTTCATTTCTTCTGGGAAAAACCTAGCTGTGTAATTGCTGGATCACAAATGATCTATATGAATAGAATCTTCTCTTCCTTTTCCCAAAGTGAGTGTACTATTTTATATCCCCATAAGAATGGATGAGAGTTCATTGCCGACATTTAGTGTTGTTAGATTTTTCATTTTAAATCATCATGGTGGGTAGATAGGGATAACTCATTTTGGTTTTAATTTGCGTCTTACTGATAACTAAGGATGCTGAGCACACTATCATGTGCTTATTTATCATTCACATAATTTCTTTTGTAATGTTCCTGTTCAAATTTTCGGTCCACACAAAAAAATTTGTCCCTATCAATGAGTGGAAGTTCTTTATGTATCCTAACCATCAGTCCTCTGCCAAGTTTGTTTTGAAATAATTTTTTTCCAGTCTACTGTTTCCCTATTCATTTTGTTAATGATTTCTTAATGAGAAGTTGTTTTTATTTTGGCAAAGTCTGATCTAGTAATTTTTTTTCTTTTATGGTTATTGCTTTTAGTGACCAAAATAAATCATATGGATCTTAATAAATGGTGTTCCCAAAATCTGTTGTAGGTTCAAGAAAATTTGAAGTTTTCCTGGCTTCCGTGTGCCTAGAGGAGCATCCAGTGGAATAATTAAGGACACTGGGAATCTGTAAAAAACTCTGAAGAGCATCCCAGAGAATGAAACCAGCTCTGGACCTCCCACTTTGATTTGTTTTCTAACATGCCTGCTGTGCGGATGGCTGGAAAGAGCCAGCTCCCGAAACCATAAGCAAATCAACCTGTAGCCTTTTGGATATAATCCATGAGTTTGTGTAAGTTAAACACGTGTTTTTTTTTTTTTCTTTTTTTGGTACCAGGGATCGAACTCAGGACCTTGCACTTGCAAGGCAGGTGGCAGAACCACTGGGCTAAATCCCTGGCCCTGTTAAGCACATATTATTGAAAGATTGTGCTTGAAACAGCTTGAATGTGTGACATAGATGAATGAAAAAATCACCCCCAAATGGCTTTTTATAAACTAATCCTTTTGAGGAAAATCCACAGAGTGACCCAGGTGTCAGCAATGGCATGGGACAACATGAAAAGTAGACTGAAAATGAGAATAGTCTGCTATGAGAAAAGCAGGACTTGGAAAAATAGAGGCCAACTAGAGGACGCAGCGTCTTCTGACCCAGTCTAGCGCTGCACATTGAAGTCTTTCCCAAGAGTTTCACCTCAGATCCTTTGCCAATTTATCTGCTTGTCCATGAAGCTGTTTGACTTTTTTCTTTGTTTCTTGTTTGGACCAAAGAAACACTCAATATAGAGATGATATTTTGAAAACTAAACTGACATCATCTTCACTCCAATTCCATTGCTGTTTTGATCTGATCTCACCGAGACACTTTCATGGAGGTGCGGGCTGAGTGTCGTCTCTCCTCCATTCATGCAAACTCCCTTGAGTAGCTCCCTCTTTGGTTTCATCTTCTGCTAGGGATCACTATGATCTCCAGTTATCTTCTTTAACTATGGATTATCCAGGACTATTTGTTTCTTCAATTTTTCAGTATTTTTAAATTATTAAATGGTTTCCCCTTTTATTAGAGACTGTGGTTCAGAAAAAGAATGGAGTAAAACTTAAATAGATGAACTTTACTCTTTTATTACAAGTTAAGTAATTAACACACAAACATGATTGAAGTAGTCATAAGGGAGAAATAAATGGGGCTAAAGTGACAGGGATGTATGACAGATTATGTCTAGCTATGCAAGTGGGTTAAATCACTTCCTAACATGTTGCCAAAAGCACAAATTTCTGCATTTAGCATAACATGCAACCAAAGAATTAACACATCATTCCCTAAGTTTTCTTCCCTGAGAAGTAGTAATTCCTGCTATTAATAGTGTCTCCACTAAGAGATTAGAGGATCTGGGGCCCAATTCAATCAACACAGGTTCTACTGGCCTAAAGTGTATGTAACACGGAGTGAGTACTTGAACTTGATGTGGAAGGTTGGTGATGCTCTACTTTTTGTGCAACTCTGAAAGCAGCCCTGTGGCCAGCCCTCCTCCAAAATAACTTGGATAACAAAATAACAAGGATGTTGTTCCTCTAGACTGGTGAAGGTAGAAGATGAAATTATCCTATCTTAGAATCTTTTATCCTTTTCTCCCATTTTGAGCTTCTTCAAAAATTTATGTGACAGGGCTAGGGATTTAGCTCAGTGGTTCCACTGCCTATCTTGCAAGCGCAAGGACCCGAGTTCGATCCCCGGTACCAAAAAAAAAAAAAAAAAAAAAAATTTAT